TGTACGATAATTTATGAATATAGTCTCCAACTCCTGCTTTAAGATTTAATCCAAATAACGAGTTTATCCTCTTTACAATTCCGATTCTCTCTCACAACATCCTTTTYTCCAAACACATCTCTCGTGCTCTCACGKCTCTTCTCTCACATGTCACTCAAACTCCCTCCACAGGGAGCCCAGTCCTTATCATTCTCTCACACTCCCCCTTGACCAACGCAGTAGTCTAAACTGCTTGGTCACTAACAAGTTCCTTTATTCGCACTCTTGCTTGACTCTTTGCCCTCCTTTGAGGTCTTCCATTGTCCTTAACATCATGATCTGTTTCATCTGCTTCCTTGCTCTGATCAATTCTGGTTCCTTGCGACTGTGTCGGTTTCTCTTGGGTACATGTAATTTCTAATGGGTAGATCTTCTGGACTGGTCTTCTCAGCTTGGTAGCTGCACCTTTTTTCGTTAGAGTTCTGATCTTTACTCCCCTCACCTCTTGATCTTCTCCAACAATCAACTCTTCTACCACTCCTGTCTTCCACTTRATACGACTTGGATTATCATCATGAATGATTACAACATCTCCTACCTCAGCAACCTTATTTCTTGAAGATTTCTTTCTTTGAAACTYCCYAAGGTTCATCAAATACTCTGTGCTCCATCTTTTCCAAAAATGGTTCAGTAACAGGCTGAGGTACATCTGTCTTCTAGTTATGGATGTCAAATCGCAATCTTCTATGACTTGTGATGGGTGTGGTAATGTCGCTAAGCGTCTTCCAGTAATAAGGTGTGAGGGTRTCAGTGGCTGTTCACTGACCTCAGGCTCAACATACGTCAAGGGTCTAGAGTTCAAAGTTCCTTCAACCTCTGTTAGCACTGTTGAGAGTTCTTCATAGTTAAGTTTTGCATTACCAAGAACCTTCCTAAGGGATCTCTTCACCAACTGTACCATTCGCTCATAAAACCCACCCCACCATGGGGCCTTCCCTAGAATAAAGTTCCTTTTGATTCCTTTCTCTAACGCATAACGTTGAACCTCTTCATGAGCAAACAACTTCTGGATTTCTTTATCCGCAAGTTTAAATGTTTTAGCATTGTCTGAAGTAATGGATGAGGGAATTCCTCTCCTTGAAACAAATCTTCTCAAACACCTTAAAAACGACTCTGTTGATAAGTCTGGAGCCAGTTCCAAATGCAGTGCTCTAGACGAAGTACATGTAAACAAACATATGTAAGTCTTTGGTCCTTGTTCAGGCATCAACTCTGAGGGTTTTATGTACAATGGACCTGCATAATCCACCCCGWCATGTGTAAATGCRAGTGTYTCCACAACCCTGTATGGTGGAAGATCTGAGTGCTGTGGTGAAGCATACGCTGTTCCTCGTAATCTCTTGCATAATACACAATGAAACAGAATCTTCCTCACTAGCTGACGTCCTCTAGGGATCCAAAACTGGCTTCTAACTTGCGTCAACGTATCTTTGACTCCTCCATGCTGAACTTCTCGGTGACAATGTTCTACGATCAATCTAGTTAAATAATKTTCTCGTGGTAAGAATATGGGAAACTTAGTTTCAACGGGTAACAACGCATTGGCCAATCTCCCTCTGCTTCTGAGGATTCCTTCTTCATCCTTGTACAGGCCAAGCTGTTTCTGCAAATCTTTCCAATTTTTCTGTTGCTCTGTCTCTCTTTGTACCTCACGAATCCACAGCTTCTCTGCTGCTATCACCTCTTCTTGTGATATTTCGCTGTTTTTTTGTAGTTTCTGCTTACGATCATCTTGTTTAGTCTTGAGAATGGCTATAAATCGTAACACTGTTGCTGTGACTCTAAACAGTTTCATGGGTTTGCTGTATCTTGTACAATCGATAACCTCTGACACGTTCACAGGCTTGGTTGACATATGAATCTTAAWTGAACTGGTTAGAAATGAAGCCGTACTTTCGGTGTCGTTCTGCTTCGCTCTCATAACACGAAACTCMTTTAAACAGTCCTCWGAAACATCTGCTTCTTCAATGAAGCCGTCTAACTTGGGATAACAGTCTGGTGGCTCTTTCAACCAGCTAGGTCCTTCCCACCATGTAATGTTACTTGCTATCTCTGAAGGGAAACATCCTCTGGATCCAAGGTCTGCAGGATTCTGAGTTCCCGGGCAATGACCCCACATATCAGCTGTCGTTAGTTCTAAGATTGTGTTCACTCGGTTCTCTACAAACTGTTTGAGTTCCTTGCTTCGTGTTATCCAGTACAGAACTGCTTTGCTATCAGTCCAACAGTGTGAAATGTCAATGTTTACAACTGACTCTAGTGCCTTCTTTACTGTAGTAACTAGGCGTGACGTGATCACAGCTGCAACAAGCTCCAACCTTGGTATGGTARGTTCTGACAAGGGTGCAAGTCTTGACTTGGAGGCAACTAATGTAGAATGTCTAAAACCCATCTCTGTCTCTGTGCACAAGTACACAACAGAACAATATGCTTTCTTAGATGCATCTCCGAATGCATGAAGGCTTGCTGATTTCAATGAATCACTGATCTGAGAGTTCAAATAATACCTTGGCATAACAATGTCCTTTACCTTGTCAGCATCTGCTAACCATTTCTTAACAATTCTCTGCTTACCCTCAGGCAGGGTGCAGTCCCATTCATATTTTAAAGCACAAAGTTCTTGAAACAGTATCCTCATTGGTATCATGACGGGAGAAATCAGTCCTAGTGGATCGAATAACTTTACTGACAAACGTAACACATTTCTCTTGCTGGGTTCCAGATCTTTAGCAAACTGTGTTACCCTATCTAACTTTAGTACCAGGGTATCAGAGTTCAAGTTCCAGTTGATCCCAAGTACCTTATGTTCTCCTTGTGTAGGATCAATCTCATGTAATCCTCCTACAGAAATCTTAGCATATGACTCAGTGTCTCTCTCAACCGTAGGATGTGGTGTCTGTAGTGGATGCTCTACATCYCTTACCTCAGTAGGCCTAGTGTTCTCTACTCTATCTTCAGCAATCCTTTTCATCAGGTCCTTGCTGTTTGAAGCCCACTTCCTGAGATTGAATCCAACAGCTGACATACATGACTTGACTGTGTTGTATAACATGAAGGCTTCCTCCTCATCATTCCCCCCAGATGTCCAGTCATCAACATAAAACCCATCCAGTACTCTCTCAGCAAGATCAAGATTATCACCATAGTATGACTTGATGTGATAGTTCAAGGTAGCATTAAGTAAAAAAGGGGAACAGTTCATTCCAAAGAGTACCCTGTTAAATCTGTAGACTTCTACTTCTGGATCTTCTGCATTTACATCGTTTACCCATGGGAACCTCATCAAATCTCTTTGGCTGTCCTCGACACAAATGTTCAAAAAGGCCTTTTCAATGTCAGCAACTAATCCTACCTTGTGGGCTCTGAAGCGTATCAAAATATCCAGTAGTGCACTTGACAGAGCTGGTCCAGTATGTATACAGTCATTGAG